CCCCCCGCCCCGCCAAATAACCAACCAAGTACTAGATCCCATTCTCTTGGTAAGGAAGGCTGCTTTTATTGTGGTCAGTCAATAGTTGTGGCATCATTTATTGAATCGACCTTCTGTTCTTTACTGATTGTAAAGTGTACTTTTATCATCTATTAGATCTTTATATATACTGCATCATCTTTCCAGATGATCTACTCAGTTCCATTGTTCTATCTGTTAGTTCTTGACTTAGTGTTTTAATATCTGATACTTTTTTGTTGAACATTTCTTGGCTATGTACCTCAATAATTTCTTCATACATATAATATTTCTGAAGTCTATAATAAATAACAACCTGTCATAAATACAATTTTGAAAGGTTCTGGTGAAGAAGCAATGCTTAACTCATAATTACAACTTAAAAATGAGGCAAGATTAAGAAACTCAGATACACACTAGGGTCAGAAACATTAAGATATATATAGCAGACATAGTAGTGGTATACTGAGTTTTCTGTACTCTCTGACAAGATCGCATGAGTCACTAATGATATATGTAAGAAAGCACTGTAGATTAGAGCACATAGTAAAAACTGTCTAGGAGGGGATAGCTCATGGAGATCAGGACAGGAGCTACCTTTGCTGAGGAGAGGAGACAACGTCCCCTTTCCCTCAGGTCCAGCTCATCTTTTTAAGAGGAGCTTGCTCAATTTCTCACTAAACACCTGTTTCACCTGCTTGTTCCTCAGGGTGTAGATGAAGGGGTTAAACATCGGGGTCACCACCGTGTTGAGCAAGGCCACCACCTTGTTCCTGCCCTCCCCCTGGCCACCCTTGCCTGATCGGATATACATGAAGATGCAGCTGCCATAGAAGAGAGACACGACAATGATGTGGGATGAACAGGTTGAGAAGGCTCTCTGCCTCTCCTTAGCTGAAGGGATACGCAGGATGGTGCAGAGGATGTGGCCATAGCAGGTGGCCGTCACAGACAGAGTACCCAGTAAGCTGAAGTTGGCCACAATAAAACCCAGAAGCTCTATGAGACTTGTGTCTGCACATATGAGTTCCAGGAGTGGAAAGTTGTCACAGAAGAAATGATTGATGATATTGGGGCCACAGAATGGCTGCTGAAATATGATGAAAATTGGAATGATGATGAGGAGGAATCCTGTCATCCATGAACAAAGGACTAGCTGTACACAGACCCTTTTGCTCATGATGGTGGCATAACGCAAGGGATTACATATGGCCACATACCTGTCAAAGGACATCACTGCCAGTAGGAAGAACTCTGTGGTGCCCAGGAAGAAATACAGGAAACTCTGGAAGAAACAGCCTAGGAAGGAGATGGTCTTGTATCCAGTCAGGATATTGGTCAGCATTTTGGGGAAGATGGCTGAGGTAAACCAGATCTCCAGGAGAGCAAAGTTGCGGAGGAAGTAGTACATGGGGGTGTGGAGGCGCCTGTCCATGAGGGTGACAACCACAATGAGGAGATTCCCCAGGAGAGTCAGCAGGTAGGTCAGGAGGAGCCCCAGGAAGATAAGCATCTGTAGCTCACAGGCATCTGACAGCCCCAGCAGGACAAACTCAGTGACAGTGGTGTGGTTTCCCATGTCTCCTCCCACCTCTGCTGGGATGGGCAATCAGAGGTGTGCAGCATTAGGAGTTGTGATGATCTGGGGAATCTGAGGACACCTGCAACTGAAAGGAAAGAGGGATGAGTGTCATACTTTGAACCGAAAGAACCCTTTATTTCTGTGAAGGACATACCTTCCCACCACTGACCACTCAGGCTTGTTTTGCAGGGCCCCTGTCTTACATTTAGTTCCTGGTGTGTCTGTGTTCAAAGAGAAAGTGGTGATCTGCAGGGTGTCCTAAATAAGACCCTAAGCCAAAAATTATCTTTGCATATTTTTCTTAACCAAACTTTTATTACTGATTCTTTAATGAACTCTTTTGCCCTTTACATTATATTTTAAAATTTATTTTATTTTTTATTCAATACTATTTTTATCTTTACTCCAATATTGGGTCTTCTTCCATGAGTAGTTCATATTTGAGGGTGGCAGTTTTTGTGCTTTACTTAGCCATTGATGATACAGAATCATATCCACGGGTAAACTGATTTAGAATGACAGACACTCTGCTGCTGTTTCAAGATTACCTGAGTCTTTGATGCTTTTCACTAGTATTTGGATTAATACAAAGGAAAGAGGAAATCTGTGAAAGAAAAGTCCAGTTCTCACAAATAAAAAAAATTCAAGTAATATATGCATAAATAAAAATTCTTTAGTGGAAGTTTTGGATTCAAGGTTCTTAATGATGTTCTCAAGCAACGTTTACAGGCTCTCCTCTCATTGCATCTTTCCAGGGGCTCTAGATAAAATAGGCTCTTTGTGATTTTTTTTTTTGATTCTTTGTCCATTTCTTGCACTTGTGCATTGCATGTGGCATCTATTCTGGTTGGGATCATTGGCCATTCAAATCTTATTTATCCTTTAAGTCTCTCCTCAGCACATGCTGTTTTTTTCTATGGAGACTTCTCTTCTGAATGAATGAGCCTTTCCTCTGTCTCCCTCATAATGTTATTATATCTCATTTAATTTTCATTGTATTTTGTGGTGGTTTTTCATTTGCTGCTCATGAGACAAAAATTTCTTTATTAATCTTTGCATGTTTTTAAAAATATATCTTTATTGATTTCGTAGAGAGGAAAGGAGAGGAATAGAGAGATAGAAACATCAATGATGAGAGTCACTGATCAGCTGCCTCCTGCAGCCCCCCGAGCCCGCAACCAGAGCATGTGCCCTGACTGGGAATCGAACCCCAATCGCCTGGATCCTGGGTCGACCCTCAACCGCTAAGCCATGCCCGGCCAAGCAATCTTTGCATTTTATAGAGCCCTTAGAACAGGTTTCTTGAAACAATCAGATTTAGTGAAACCTGATTAGATGAGTGAATAATGCCCCAAATGCCTGAGGAATGGGTTTGGTGGTGTTTGACATACAAGAGGCTGAGGGCATATAATTTATGTAATATTTCCTAGGGGACAGCAGCTTTACAGAGTCGTAAGTCTTACATTGGTCTATCTGAAGAAAGTTTGCTTTTCCTCATAAGGAGGTGAAGATGTCTCCCCACAAACATTCTTAAGGGACACTCCATTTTTGACATGTCTAGTAAGTAGACAGTGGTCTGGTTGGGTCAGCTAGAGTGCTCCTGGCAGCAACGCCCCCTGCCAAAATCTTTAAAAAGATCTCTCTTTAAAAGTCAGCAGCCTGCCCTGGCCAGTGTGGTCCAGTTGGTTGATTGTCATTCCATGCGCTGGAAGGTTGCTGGTTCAGTTCCTGGTCAGGGCACAGGTACAGGTTGTGGGTTCAGTCCCTGATAGGGGGAGTGTAGGAGGCAACCCATCGATGTCTCGCTCTCACATTGATGTTTCTCTCTCTCTTTCCCTCTCCCTTCCCCTCTCGCTAAAAATCAATAATAAAAAATACACATCTCAGCATCCTTGGTGTTCTCTTCAACAACACATATACTAAAATGGGAATGATACAGAGAATATTAGCATTGCCCCTGAGCAAGGATGACATGCAAATTTGTGAAGCATTCCATATTTTTAGATCTGGTGAACACCACTGGTGACTCACTGAGAACATACCTCATGCAACTTGAATACAGTCAGAGGCTCATTCAGTGACTGAGCTGAACAAGCAGCCAACAAACGGAGGCTGGCAAAGGTGGATCTCAGGGCTCCTTGTGACTTTTGCTGACCTGCCCCAGGGTCTGGTGCTGGTAAAAGCCAGCCTTGGTGCACAGCTTGAACCTTCCTCTGCATATCCAAGCCCAGCAGAAGCAGCCCCACACTGTGGATTGCTTTGTAGCTCCGAACAGGTTGCCCAGGGCCAGTCACAGGCAGTGTCTGACATTGGCCTGCACCAGAGTCCCTCCTAAGAGGCCCCAGAAACAACACACTCAGTGGTCAGCTTCAGACAGCATCAGGGCAGGATACAATTAACTCCACAAGTGGCATTTCCAAAGGGAGATCTCAGCAGGCACCAGACCCTGGTAAGGTGAATTCTGCTCCATGTGGTCAGCATCTGCACAGCTCATACACTGTGTTTGGGGTTGATCCTCACAGCTATCCAGCCTGAGGGTCAACCCCACGCATGAATGGGCCAATGGCAATCAAGGCTCAATTAAAACAGGAGGGTCCACATAACACAAGGGACCTTCTTGGGACACCCAGTGCAGGTGATCAGGGAGACTGTGCTACTGGGTCCCACAGAACACCTACTACATAAGGCTGGGAGCCATAGTAGATCTAACAAATACATAGAAACACACCCCAAAAAGCAGCCAAAATGTGGAGACAAAGAAACATGTCCCAAATGAAAGAATAGGAGGAATCGCTAAAAAAAGAGCTAAATGAAATGGGGGCAAGTGATTTATCAGACATAGAGTTCAAAAGAATGGTTATAAGGCTGCTCAGTGAACTTAGTGAAAACTACAAGAAACTTTGTGAGAACTACAGCAACATGAAAAGGACATAGGAATGAAAAATACAATATATGAAATGACAAATACACAGAAGAAATAAATTGTAAGTTGGATGAAACAGAGGACTGAATCAGCAGTTTGGAAGGCAAGGTAGCAGAACACAATCAGAGCAGTGAAAAGAATTTTAAAAAATGAGGATAGTTTAAGGGATCATTGGGACAATATGAAGAGTACCAACTTCAACGTCATAGGGGAACCAGAAGGAAAAGAGAGCAAGTAAGGGATTTAGAACCTATTTGAATAAATAGTAACTGAAAACTTCCATAACCTGGTGATGGAAAATAACACACAAGTCCAGGAAGCACAAAGAGTCCCAAACAAGATGAACCCAAAGAGGACCACACCAAGGCTCATCATAATTAAAATGGCAAAATTACAGACAAAGAGAATCCAAAAGCAGCAAAAGAAGACAGTTACCTATAGGGAGCTCCCATAAAACTGTGAGCTTATTTCTCAACATAACATTTCAAGCCAGAGGTTTGGCATGAAATATTCAGTGATGAAAAGCAAGGGCTTACAATCAAAGCTACTTTACCCAGCAAGGCTATCACTTAAAATTGAANTGAAGTTCTCAAAGTGATGAAAAGCAAGAACATGCAACCAAGATTGCTTTATCCAGCAAGGCTATCATTTAAAATTGAAGGTGAAAAAAAAAGCTTCCCAGGCAAAAAAAAAAAAAAAAAAAAAAAAGCCCAGGAGTTTGTTAGCCCCAAACCAGAATTACAAGAACAACAAAACAAAACAAAACACAACACAACAACAGAGGAACATAGTTAAAAGAATAGAACGACAATAAACATATACCAATCAATAATCACTTTAAATGTAAATGGCTTAAATGTCCCAATCAAAAGACATAGGGTAGCTGAATGGAAAGAAAAACAAGACCCATATATATGCTGTCTACAAGAGACCTACCTCAGAACAAAAGATACACGCAGACTAAAAGTAAAGGGATGGAAAAAAATATTTTATGCAAATGGAAGGGGAAAAAAGCTGGGGTAGCAATATTTATATCTGACAAAATAAATTTTAAAACAAAGTCTACAGTAAGAAACAAAAAAGGACACTATATAATGATAAAAGGAGCAATCCAACAAGAGAATATAACTCTTGTAAACATTTATGCACCCAACATAGGTGCTCCTAAGTATGTAAAGCAAATCTTGGTGGACACAAAGGGAGAAATTGAAGCAGTAATAAAAAACTACTAACAAACAAAAGCCCAAAGCTCTTTTTTATGAGGCCAATATTATCCAAATTCTAAAGCCAGATACTGACACTACAAAGAAAGAAAATTATAGGCCAATATCCCTGGTGAACATAGATGCTAAAAATCTTCAAAAAATATTAGTAAACTGGATCCAGCAATTCATTAAAAAGATCATATACTATGATCAAGTGGGATTTACTTCTGGGATGCAATGTTGGTATAATATCTGCAAATCAGTAAATGTGATACATCACATAAACAAAATGAAGGGTAAAAACCACATGATCATATCAATGGATGCAGGAAAAGCATTTGATAAAATCCAGCACCCATTTATGATAAAAACTCGCAGCAAAGTGGGAATAGAGAGATCATACCTCAACATAATAAAGGCCATATGTGACAAACCCACAGCCAACATCGTACTCGATGGGCGAAAACTCAAAGTGTTTCTCTTAAGATTGGGAATAAGCCCTGGCCAGTTGGCTCAGTTGATTGGAGTGTCATCCCATATATCAAAAGATTGTGAGTTTGATTCATGGTCATGGCACATATCTATGTTGTTGTTTTGATTCTTGGTTGGGGTGAGTACTGGAGGTCACCGATTGCTGTTTCTCTCTCACATCAATGTTTCTGTCTCTCTTTCTCTCTCTCCCTTTCTCTTTCTAAAAATCAACAACATACCCTCAGGTGAGGATTAAAAAAATAAGAAAGATAAAGACCAATACAGGGATGTCCACTTGTACCACCCTTATTCAACATAGTACTGGAAGTCCTAGCTACAGTGATCAGACAAGAAGAAGAAATAAAAGGCATCCAAATTGGAAAGAAGTAAAGCTGTCA